AAAGAAGGCACTTAGAATGTCCATCCATGTCACAAAGTTTGCCCACATATTTCTTGCACTGCTTCAAGTGGTTCATGAAGGCCATCTTGAACTAGGTCGCAAGCATCGTCCTCATGGAGCCCAATGAGCTAAAGCAGGAGGCAATCAAGCTGAATCAGAAACTCTTCCATAAAATAAACTCAGTTAAAGTTCACTTTTAAAGTAAGAACTAACAAGCTCGAAGAGCAACGGTTCCTGAAACTAGATGCAGCATGGATGAAAGGAATTGAGACATTTCGGCAGCAACGGGCCTTGTATAGCCTTGGGATGGCAGGTGGGGTTACTGCCAAAACTTTGCTGCCTAGTGATTCTAGAAGGTTCTGAACAGTGCTCTGTGCAAGAGCAGAATACTCAGTTATGTCATTCTCAGAGACCACGAAGAAGACATATATTTCTTCATGGCTTTAATAATAATATCAGTTGTTTGCCTCCTTTGAATTAATGCTTGCAGGAGGTAAGGATCTGGTGGAGGGAAAAACAGACACACACACACACAAAAAAAGAACTGAAGCTGAATTCAGCCAAGATGAAAGTGCTTCCTGTCAAGTGTCTTAACTTAGGTACAGAGGTGTGCCAATGAGGCTAAGACGAGATTATGCTCTTCAAGAAATACTATGTCTATAGTGTGGGAGCTTCTTCTGGATCTGTTGATCCAAATTATGGCTCAATGGATACAAAGGCCATGAGTGTCTACTATCAGCCTTGGCTGTTATACCAACTGTGCACTTTCCTAGAACTAGAACATCATGGTACAAGCACTGGTAACCTCAAGGAGATACTTCTGCAATGTACTGTACATTGGGCTACTTTTGTACCAATTTCAGAAGCAAGGCAGTCAAACTAATTAATTAGATCAGTATTTGGAGCCACAAATGTTTTGGGCTTCTACTCTCAGAAGCTAACTAAAGCTTCTGGGGCCTGAAGTTCAAAGCACCTGAAGTTCAAAATGTAAGAACCACTCATTTGTGTAACTATCAGATCTTTTAATCATTCACCTGCATTACAGCAAACACTTCATATCTGACCCCAGTGAAGCTGTAAAGGATAATGATGTCAACACTTTTTGTTATTTTAATATATAAACCAGAAGTCTTAAACAAATTAGAGCACAGAATACAAGGGGGTATTAGCAGTCTCCATCCCAGTACTCATTGGGACCAGATTTAATAGAAAATACACCCAACACCTTCAGAATAACTTTTGGGCTATGTTTTGTTTACCGAAAAGCAACGTGCATGTTGAATTGCTTCAGTTGACTAATATTCTTTACATTATCTTCATTATGATTATGGGTTTTTTTTTTCATTTTGTCTATGTTCCTCCCTTTTTACATATAACACATTTAAACCTACTTTCAAGAAATGGATATATAATACTTAGCAGATAGCTTCCCACATAAAAAGCAATGTAATTTTCACTCATTGCCGTTTTCTGTATTCATTACAAATAAGATTATATTCAGAAAGGTTTAGCCTAATAAGTGATCTGTCCCACATAACATGCTGTTACTATTCAACTAATACATAGTGATCAGAAAGAAACAACTCCATGCCTTAAGCAATTATACCAGCGCTATGTCTTCAGTCATGGTGTGTAAACAATTTAAAATGCTTTCTTAAAAAATCCACCAATATCTTATATTAAATACATTTCCTCTAAAGAAAACAAGGTAGCAACTGCTATGCTAGCATTACTTATAAATCAGCACTGGAAGAAAATTTGCAGCAAACACAAGTAAGTAAAGAAGAAAGGGCATTTTTAATTTATTGTCAGTGAACATTTCATGCATTAAGTTAAGCATTATTTGAACATTACTATTTATTTTGGAATGTCTGCTCATCACTATTCCACATTATATATTTCCATATAATGGCAACGAGCCAACTGATGCTCTTACATTACAAAAAAAATCACTAATCTTCTTTTCATGTTCAAGATACAACCTGTAGCTGTTCTAGAATCAGAATGCATGCAGATCGAAGAATCTACTGACACACACATTCTAGCCTGAGCTGCTACGGTACTTTCTTTTGAAGAATATTTCATCCAAACTCAAAGGGCAATTGAACTAACATCAATAGGTAGTGCAAGTTGATCAGTTGAAGGTAGTACTGGTACAATGGAATGCAAATGTGTGCACGTTTTAATGATAAGCTAACAATAATGTAATCATATATACAGGCAGTCTCCAAATTAGGAATAGGATATGTTCTATAGATTTGTTCTTAAGTAGAATTTATTTGTAAGTCAGAACAGGTACATTTTAAAAGGTACTTCATTCAAATATACAGTATATTTTTCAGTTTTGGGTGGCACAGGGAAGGGTTAACCCCCTGTGGTGTTTGTTTCACTGTCTGTGCCCCTGTTCAGAAGATTTCACCTCACTTTCTGTCCCCGTAATCACTGGATTTTGAAAAAAGTGGCTTGTTGTGGAAACAAGGATTGATGCTAAAACTTCAGAGGAGACACTTTTTTCCCATGATAACTCAGGAGTGAACTTCCCTTCCTCTGGGTAGATCACTCTCGCTTCCTGTAGTCTCACTCCCTACCCCCACCCACCCCCACTCCTCTTAACTGTGAGTTGTTTGTAAGTTGGTGGACTGTCTGTACATAACACAAGGTTTTTGGGGGAAATTAATAAATAATAATGAGAACAGAAGAAATGTATTACAGTGAGTATGCTGTCAGTTAACACCACACCATTGCCTCCTCCATATACCTTGGGCTCAGAGAAAGTAAGCATCATACTTGGAGAAGACAGTCTTCACCCATTTCAAACCAGCTTCAGATCAGCATATGGAGTTGAGACTGCTATGGTCGCCTTAGTGCAGTGGTTCTCAACCTGTGGGTCCCCAGATGTTTTGGCATCTAATTTCCAGAAATCCTAACAACTGGTAAACTGGCTGGGGACCCAAAGGTTGAGAACCACTGCCTTAGTGGATGATCTCCGCCTTAACAATAACAAGAGGTGTATGTCCCTGTTGGTGCTTTTAGATCTCTCAGTGGTTTCCGATACCATCAACCATGGCATTCTTCTGGAGGAGGAAATCGGACGCACTGTGCTGCAGTGTTCTAGTTCTACCTCTCAAACAGGTTCCATGTGGTAGTGTTTGGTTATAGCTCCTCCTCAAAAAAGATACCATTCTATCTCCAATGCTTTTTTACATTTATATGAAACAGCTGGAGAGATCATCTGTATGCATGGGGCACTCCTATACTAAAGTAATTCCACTGGCTACCAATTAGTTTCCAGACAAACTACAAAGTGCTGTTTTTGACCCTTAAAACCCTACATGGTTTGGGTCCAGGTTACTTACAGGATCTCTTTCTCCCATACAATCCATTGCCCCTTTGGCCACTGAAGTCCTCAGGGGTGTCTACTCCCAGCCTGTCATGACTCAACTGGCAGCTGTCACCCAGAGGATCATTTCATCAGCTACCCCAAGACTGTGGAATGAACAGCTAGAAGAGATTTGACAGCAGGATCAGCTCTCAGAATTTAAGACACAATCGAAGACCCATCTCTTTCTGCCAGCTGACCTGGTCAATTTTAAGTTGTGAATTTTAATCTTCATTTTATTAGAGGATGTTAAACTGTATTTTAACTCTGTGTTTCTAGTTATATGTCTTTGAATAATATTTTATCTCTTGTTTTAATTACGTTGCACCCTGTACAAGCCACAGGGAGGAAGCAGGTAATAAATTCATCATCATTATCATTATCATCATCATCATCATCATCATCATCATCATCATCATCATCATCGTCGTCGTTGTTGTTGTAGCAAGACTCATGGAAATGGAAAACCAGCATGGGTTTCCTCAATTTCTTCACATTCAAAATCTGAACTGTCTCAGTCGGATACAGGAAATATAATGCCAATACAAAATACTTATTGTGCAACCTAATTCATTTTACAAAACTTCATATATCCAAATGCATGCATGATGTTTCCACAATTTTCTTCCTTGTGATTGCCATATTCACAGAAGCAAATTTTACATTTTCACTCTTTTCATAAACACATTTGCAACATAGCAAATATATATGATACTTACTTCAACGTATTTTACATACAGTATTTGGGTCTTCCTCTTCAAATGGTTTAGTATTTCTATAGAACCACTAATTAAAATTATGTGGACATTTGAAAGGTTTTATCACCAATATATGGATCACAGCTGTATTTTTTTCTTTTTATCCATTACCAGGAAAGCTGTTAATGTTCTGAATCAATATCTGGATATACTGTATCAACAGGCTGATTAAAGTTATCCAGGTAAACATAGCGATCAGGAAGCAAGAGGCTCTAAACATCAATTCAATCTATATTTGATTATTCTGCCACTGAACAACCAGGATCTCAGTATATGCATGTTTCTGATCTTGGCTTCCTTCATCCATCTTAGGATGGCATACCAACTGCATGAATCTCTAACTAGATGAATCTCTAACTAGATGGCCAAACAGACAGATCTTAGATATATCTAAAATAATTTTACTACATGGGAATAATCTTGAATTTAGAAATTGCGACAGTTACAGACTGCAACAGCAAGAAAGCAGGTGATGTTGACAATATCTTAATACATCATCCTATGAAGCCTTTGCCAGTTTATTTTCAAGCACAACTCAAATGATGACTTTCAAAGCCCTCAGGTGGATTAGGACCCAGATTTTCTCCTCTGGGAAGTCAAAGGACTCCTTGCTAGCTTAGGCAACAATCAATCATGTTTGTGTTAACAGAACTACAATATATTTGAGTCTTAGAACAAAGATATTGTATTTCATCAGACTGAAACAACAAAATGAAAACAGTGAAAAAGTATCATGCAAAAATCCCCAGCAGACAAATCTATGCAGTCTAGATATGTCAGTTATTCCAGTCTCAACAAAACTGAAACATAATCTTCCTCAGAGACACTTTAATAAACAACAAACACCTTGTAAAACATCTTACCGTAGAATATCTTCGAGTTTTCGTATTCTCTTAAAAGAATCAATTTTCTCTTTATCCAAGTCATTCTGCAATCCATGAATCTAACATTTAAAGATAGGGTCAGTGTTAAATTTGAGGAACAACAATAATAAGAACTGTAACATAACTATTGTCATTCCAACTCTGTGACTTCTATTTAGCCAATTATAAACCATTCTAAACTGCCCTGAGTCACCTGAGGGCTGAGAAGGACAGTATAAAAACATAGTAAGTAAGTAAGTAAGTAAGTAAGTAAATAAATAAATAAATAAATGGAGATGCCTTTTAAGACTCTTCAGAAAGGTCAGCTATTGCAATTGCACTAGCTTGTCTGCAGCAATTAAGCTAATAAATAATAGTGCTGGAGGAGATTTCTATGGGACTCGTCAAACACAACAGCAGATAAGACACTAAGATCAGACGGTTGTTGCTGTTTATAATTCTTCAGCTTTTTTTCAGTGCTACAAAGTTGGTTTTGCCAATTCTTGAGTATCTTAGGGTTAGGGGCATAGCTACACTGACCACTTAATGAGGAAGCTCTGTGACAGCCAAACATCACTTTGAGTTGATTCAGGGGTACACAGTGCAAGGCCACCTTGATGCGGATTTGACTAGCAGTATCCCCCAACTTTGGGTATTTCTAAACAGTTCTGAAACAAAAGCAGCAAGTCAGTGTAGATCCGCCCTACAATATGCACCCTTTGAACTGGGGTTTTTGGTTACACTTCAAGTATTCAAAAGCTATCTGCTCTACTACCAAAGTTCCTCTTGTTGTAAACTTCCACAGCTGCTGTTTGAATTATGAAGTATATTGATTTAGGTTAATATTGCACTGTATTGTTTCACATTTGTCTGTAGTTTTTTGCCTTTGTTAACTAAAAACATTGTATATACAAATTATTTAATTATTTTATATTTGCAATTTAGCTATTTGTGTGTGGCAATTTACTGAAGCGTATTATCACATTCCTCAATCTAAAATGCAAAATAGTAATTTATATAGAAACACAAACACAACATGAATACTCAAGAGCTCTGCTTGCTATTTTCCCTACATAATATCCCCTACAAAATTCTCCTTACTGATTGGGATTACAGCATATAAAATTTATGCCATAAATTGGAGAAGCCAAAATTGTTCCTTAATCCATAAAGATCACACTGAAATTACCAAACATTTTCTATGCCTGGTTTAGCCATCAATCAAATTAGAGATCATAATCAAGAAATCAGAAAATGACTAAGATGTGAAAGGGCAACTATGAAGGAAGTAGGTAATGTCCCCAGGTGCACAGATGTATCTCTGAATACTAAAGTGGAGATCATTCATTGCACAGTATTTCTGACTATTATATTTGGGTATGAAAGCAGGTAAATAAAGAAAGCTAATAAGTAATAGTGCTGGAGGAGATTTCTATGGGATTCGTCAAACACAACAGCAGATAAGAGACTAAGATCATCAGGGGAGGCCCTGCTGTCAGAGACATCACCTGCATAGGTGCGTCTGCCGGGAACGAGGGACAGAGCCTTCTCAGTGGTGGCCTCTCAGCTGTGGAACTCCCCCCACCCCCAGTGATACTGAAGCAGCTCCCTCCCTCCTGGCCTTTTGAAGCAAAGTAAAAACCTGGCTCTGGGATCAAGCCTTTGGAGATTAACCACAGTGCAAAAATAACAACGAAATATATGCAAAGATTTTCAGAATTGCCTTGGATTACGACTGTGGATGGCATGATTTTAATAGTGATTATAATGTTTACATGTTTTAATGTGCTTTTTAACTCTAATTTTTAAATGTTAACTTAAATGTATTTAATTGTAGGCATCAAATAGTTGACATTTGTAAAGATGCCTTGAGTCCCCTTCAGGGTAGAAAAAGACGGGACATAAACAGAGTAAATAAATAAATAAATAAGCAAGCACATGAGTCCAACAGGAAATCACTAGAAGCCAAAATGACTTAACTGAAGCTATTCTATCTTGGACATATTATGAAATGACTCATTACAAAGGATGATAATGCTAACTGAAGTAGAAGGCAGCAGGAAAAGAAAAGATAATAATAATAATAATAATAATAATAATAATAATAATAATCTTTATTTATACCCCGCCACCATCTCCCCAGTGGGGACTCGGAGCAGCTTACATGGGGCCAAGCCTGGACAACATATTACAGCGGAATAAAACCAAAAACATAGACAACAAACAACATGGAAAGAAAGAAAAAAATCCAGTAAACACAGTCACGATAACAGTGGGCGGGCCACATGTACAGGATAAAACAATTAAAAGACTCTAATGAGATAAAATAGGAGGAGGTTGTTTACAGGGAGATCATAAAAACAGAGTTGTGAAACACAACTTCCCATTTGTAGGGAATGTACTCCAGTGGCAGAAGCGTTGAGGGGAGCAATAATATCATGTTGTACACCTACTCGTCAAAGGCGCAGCGGAAGAGACAGTTTTAAGGTTCTTTTTGAACGTTTCTAGTGAAGGGGCTTTCCTGATCTCTCCAGGTAATGAGTTCCAGAGTCAGGGGGCCACAGAGGAGAAGGCTCTCTCCCTTGTGCCCACAAGACGAGTTTGTGAGATTGGTAGGAGTGAAAGGAGGGCCTCCCCTGAAGATCGAAGGGCCCGGGTTGGTACATGGAGAGAGATACGGTCACGAAGGTAGGCGGGTCCCAAACCGCTTAGGGCTTTGTAGGTGATAACCTGTACCTTGAATTGGGACCGGAAAATAAACAGCAGCCAGATAGCTTTCTAGATGAATTCACAATTTAAGGAACCTACACTGATCAGTAATGTAGGCAGGATCTGGCATTCCAGATAGGTACTCCTTAAAGCGCCACACAGATGGCAGGGAATCCCAACTGCCCAGTGGTACCAAACAGCTGTCTTGACAGACCTTAAGTTGGGGAAAAGCGTGAATCCTGGATCAGTATTCCATCTTTTCCCCAAGTTAGCTACCCGGGATAAGGCATAGTTAAGATGGCTTTGCCCCAGGTTAAACTGGATCGGCTCCGTAGAGTGTTTAGCTGCAGCAGGGCTGATCTAAATACACACCATCCATGTGTGCAAAAGCAGCAGCAGAAAAATCTGGATGCACCTATACTGAAGGATTAATGCAGTTAGACACTATTTTAACTGCCATGGCTCAGTGCTATGGAATCAAGGGAGTTGTAATTTTAGAAGTTCTGTAACCTTCTCTGTCAAAGATTACTGCTATATCATCAAACTATTGAGCCATGGCAATGAAAGTGGTGTTGAACTTCATTAATTCTATAGTATAGAGCCAACTTGATTTTATAGTTTTTTATGGTTCTCCTATAATTCCCCTCTCAGTTAAAGAGGTGCAAGCAGTGTGATGTCAAGGAAATCAAGATTTGTACTTTTTGTTGCTATACATATATTTGAGTCCATAGTGTACAAAGCAAGCATTAAGTGGGTTACAAAATAGAACATACTTCCTCAGTAAAGATATTAACTACAGCATGTACTAATACAGTGTAGATGAGCTTGCAAGTCCCGATCAATACTGTTAATAACAAGGCTTCTTTGAGGTCTTAAATTCATATGATCACCGTAAGAAAAGCTGATTTGAAAACACATTAACATTCCATTATGTTTGTTTATTTTGACTAGAAAGAAAGAGACATGAAATTTCAACCACAAGAACATGTGGACAATATTCTATTTAAATCAGTTTAAAGAACAAAAACAGATATAGGGAAATGCAGTGAAATAAAACACAGAAGGCTAAACGTTAAATGTAATTATTATTTCATAAGTGATGGAGCCTGTATCAAAAAGATTTCTTCAGGACAGATAACACCTCATCATTTGCAACAATAGTGATCACAGATTTTATGTTCTTTATACTCAACACTATCTATTCTTCCATTTAAAAATGAGCATTATGACATGTTTGGTTGCTAGCCATTCCAATTTGTGTAGAGCCTTTTACTCTGAAACTAGATTTTCCTTATTGTTTCAACAGAGTCAAAACTTGTAAACCTTCCAGGCATGGTGCAACACACATATGTTCTCAATGATTTTGCCAAGGGCAGCCTACGTGTTAAGGTTGTTTTATCTTTTAATTTAATTCAGGTGCCCATATGTAGATGTCAGTTTCATGTCCTGATGTCTGTTGAAAATTAGGGATAGGTCTAATTGTATAGCTGATAGAGATTTCTACATTACTAGAGTATACTAAATGCAGTAGCAACATCAATAATATAGTACTTGGATTGCAAATAATTCTAGCATGAGTTCCTCTTATTCAAATTCCCTGCTTAAGAGGTGTCTATCTTTAATGCTTTGCATGACAACCATGTATTGAAGCCTTCTCCTTTCGCTAATACATTTTTGAAGATCTGATGATAAGGAAATACAGATCGGCTACTCCATGAAGAGACCTCAATCTGACAGTGGCATTTACACAAATAGATGTGTAGTTTGCTGTCACATAGTAGCAAATTACACATAGTGAGATCTCCAGAGGAGGAGCATCCAACTTCCAGGGCTTGGAAGGTTGTACTAATTCCTTGCAGGATCTTGAACCACTCACAGATTCCGCCACCCCACACTTGCAGTTTTTAAAAATATCTATTGAATTCTTAAACAACTCCCGCACTTCCAGATTTGCAATTTCACCATGCTTTCAGAGGGCTTACTGAGCTGAAGGGACCTCAATTTAACCAGGACTTAGATCAGATCTTCTCACACAACAAACATTTTCTTACAAGTACTGACAATGAGTTGTTAAAAACGATAAAATTTCAGTCAGTAAAGCGCATAATGTAGGCACAGAAAGTATTAAAAGCTTCATGTACATATTACCTATAAAGGATATACAGAGTGAGGTTCAGATTTCATACTGATATTTTAAAAGATCCATAGTAAAGGATTTTTTCGTAAAGGATTTTTTCAGGCTCTGAAGAGAGAAATATTTCCCAAATTTCCTTTTCAGTGACCAAACACAACTAATAACTGGGTGATAGTGGATAACTCAAAGAATAAATACCTTTTTTTCATGTGATCTCTCCAAATGAAGTTTTTCCTGTAGAAATGTTTGCTCCTGGTCCTGAAAATTGATTTAATGAGGACAATATTTGTTTTATTAATATGAAAGTAGCATAGTAACAACACATTATTCACAAATTTGTAAATATACCAGACGGAAGGAGCTGGTACTTTAGCAAAGAAGCTGAATATAATTTTAAACTGATGAAGAATTAGTCCCAAAAAGTAAAAAAGAGACTGAACTTTAAAAAATCAATTCCAGCTTCCATTTAGATGGGTACGTATTAAATCCCTCTATATGCAAGAAACATATCCTAGTCATATTTCACCTGTTCATGCTCAGCATTATTTTTTAAATTTTAATTATTACATTTGGCCCAGCCATAGGTCTTTTAAACACCGTTGTGTAAATGTTTATTGCTTATTTTTTGTTATGAGTTTTATTTTATTGTTTGTATTGCTGTTGTTATTGTTTTTATTCCTTATGTATTGTGGGCTCGGCCTCATGTAAGCCACACCGAGTCCCTTGGGGAGATGGTAGTGGGGTATAAATAAAGTTTTATTATTATTATTTATTATTATTATTATTATTATTATTATTATTATTATTATTATTATATAGAGGGAGTATTTGTGTCTGTTACATCAAATTCAATTCTGTGGAGAAATTCATAAATTTCACAAAAAAAGATAAAAAATTAAATAAAATTGCAGAATTCTGTGCCTTAACAGTGAAGCTCCCGTAGCTCTTTGCCAGATACTGCAATCTTGAATACTGAAATGTTACCTGTAAACATTGTGGGACTGGATTACTGTGAGTTTTTCAGGCTGTATGACCATGTTCCAGTAGCATTCTCTCCTGCTGCCAAAGATGCAGACAAAACATCAGGAGAGAATGCTACTGGAACATGGCCATACAGCCTGAAAAACTCACAGCAAGCCAGTGATTCCATCCATGAAAGCATTCAGCAACAAATTATGGAATTATTTGGAATAACCTGCAACTAGTCATCAAGACAAGGGCTATTGCAGAGCAAAAGAATAGGGAGGAGGGTATCATGTTGCTGTTGCTACTATAGGTTTACAACAGGCTTTTTCTAAGTAACAGGGATGATCAGAATCTTTCCTGTTACAGATGCCACAAGTTAATTGGGTGTGTTATCTGATTTAGCATATAGCAAGGCACTGGGTTTGCAAGCTTTGAATTTGGCTTAGCTGGATGACTTGTTTGAGCTGAAAAAACCTTTGGCTGTTGCAGGGAGTGGTTACGCAGCATGCTGAAGCTGAAGACTGAATCCGTTTGGAGTGCCAAGGAAACTGCTTGCTTTTGGTAAGATAAGGACATTCTACTGATAACTAAGTAGAGAGACTGTATTATTTTGCTATGTGTTTGCATATCGTTGTGTAAAGAAGACTCACCAGAGATATTGTTTGTTGTATATTGATGAGCACAATTCTTTTGTTTTGCTTTGTGTTTTTGATCTACAGTGAATAGAACTATATTTTTATTTCTACTTAAAGCAACAGACTTGTGTTTTTTTTTGAGGTTTTGTCACACAGAGTAAAAGGGGCTAAGGCATTCTGCAGGCTACTAACGCTATTCTGACAGTTGCTACCTACATTTTTGTAAATAAAGAACAAAACTCAAACACAGGGGAATTCCAGACAAGAAACAATCAGGAACAGTTAATCACCTCTCAACAAAGGATTCCACCAGGCAGTAACAAGCTACACCTAAAAACTGTCAGACCATCAAATGCTAATCAAGGTGGCCAATTGAAACATCCACACCCAGCTCCAACAGACAAGAGTTCTTTCTCCCACCCTGGATTTTCCAGAGATATATAAACCCAATTTTCCTAGTTTCCAACGGACCTCACAACCTCTGAGGATGCCTGCCATAGATGCAGGCGAAACGTCAGGATAGAATGCTTCTAGAACATGACCATACAGCCCAAAAAACAACACATCTGTTATCCCCGTTATTTTCTAAAGAATGTAACGATAATCATAAGTCTTCCTAAATGATGTCATTATTAACCATGAAGGACAAACATACAAAGAAGAACTGAGTTTGGACAACTGTAAAGTAGTGAACTGACTCTTAGTAATGAGAAATAATAAGAGCCAAAAAAATGGACGAAAAGGACAAAGCAGTAAAATAGTTCTGATTCTTTGAAATATAGCAGCAATGCGACAAGTTTATGCTAATATACTAATTTATACAAATGTAGCTATCACTATCTAAGACAGACATAGGGATTACTTTCAACTTCACTCTATGCTTTTCTTTAATCCACTGATATATATGCTTTTCACATCAGTTCAATAAGCAAGGAAATAAGACAAATAGCCCCCAAGTTTCTTTAAAGGGTTTAGCTGGAAATAAGAACATATTCCATTATTTCTTTCGTTGAGTGATTGGCTCACGACGTTTCTGAGAACTCCAGAAACTCTCACTTGAGCATTCTATTCATACAAATCACAGGAAGAAGTAAAAAGGGCTCATCATTTTTCCTGAGTGAAAAATTCAGGGCTCACCCTCAGCTGTTGCTGCCTTTGATGTTCTGATTCTAGTAACTGTTGTTTTAATTGAGACACACACTGTTCTAATTCTTCAATCACATCAGATGCCTGTAGGGATTTAACAGAAAAGAGAATGTTGGTCTTGCATTAACTCTGGCAGAAATAACTTCTCTATCCCCCCACCCCCAAGTTATGCTTTAAAGCAGGACAGAGAATTGGGGAGATGATCTACTTAAAACAAATATAAAAACTTAACCCCTACACATTTCTTCTAATGATGCAAATACTATTGTAGTTGCTGAATTGGCATCTGATTAAAAATTGTGTATATATTTCAGAAAAATGATCCACTCAAAATGTATTGTTGCAAGCTTAGGCTTCAGCTTTGTCAACATTCCTGCATGTAAGTATATTATGCCAGATGAGAAGAGCCAGCTGAATAAATTTCATTCACATCTATCTATGTTTATACAAGAATAAAACTTTAGAAATTAATGTTGAAAGCTTTTGGGTTTTTATATGTTGTTAATATATCTGTCTGTATTCATGTCCACATAAATCTAAACTTACTTTTGCTGCAGAAAGAGCATGTTCCTGTTTCATCAGATTTAGATCAGCATCATATTTGCTTCGTAGTTGTTTAATGTTCTGCTCGTATTCTTGTACAATGTATCCCTTTTCTTTTTGAAGTGAGTTGCATCTATAAATATTACAGTTAAAAAGAGGTGAAGCTACGTTCCATGTAGCATCATTTTTCATACTTTACATGTTATACAATGTAAACAAATGGCACTCATCTTTTTATTCTGGAAGTTGACGATAAAATCAGCCAAGCTTTGAACCAATTTTGTAATGCCAAAGAAAATAAAAGAAGTTACACAAGTGCCAAAAGGGACATATGGCTCACCAGATCCAGTCTGAGATAAGCTATTAAGAATAACAGTTTAGTCAGATGTGAAATTCACACCTATCACTGGCAGCAGATCAACACAGCAACCCCTCCAGAAGTTGCAGATCTGCTACTGATTATCACTCACTCATCCCAGGATGTAAGGAGAGGGAAGGCAACAGGGCTGATTTTGTTTGGCATCGACAATATTTAATTCACAATGAATCCAGCATGTGAATATGTACACAAATCAGAACATGGGAAATAATTTCACAAAATGATGACTGAATAGAGAAGCTAAAACATTTCAGAAATGTATGATAGTAAGCATGACAATTTTATGGTAATGCACCAGATACTAACAGCTGAAAACTACTGTTTTATGCCTACATAAATAGCTTGTTAAGTACCTTGCCTTGACTTCTTCAAGTTCTATGCATATAGCCTGGTAAGATTGCTCCAGATTAATTTTTTCCTGAGATAACTTCTGACGCTGTAAATTGCTAGTTTCAGCTTCCACAGTCAACTGATGAACACGTTCTTCTAGCTCTTTCACCATCTGGGTCTAAACAAGTTAAGATTATTATAAAGTCATGTACATGCTGTTAGATGTATAACAACCTATCCACAGATTATACAAAAACTATGAAGTTAGTAGACCGTCGAACAATCAACAACTGGTAGGAAAATTATTTCTATCACTAAGAATGTATTTATTAAGGGTTTGTCTAGAATAAGATACAGCATTCTCACAAAATTATGGATATTTTTACCTAGAAATTCTCATAAAATAGAATTGCTTTTCTAACATGTACTGTTTACTCTTTACCCGATATACAACAGCTTTGTATAATCAAAACCTAGGTGCACAATCCTTCTTCACACAGGGCTGCAGGAACCACATAGGTAGGAACCAGAAGTCTTTTCGGAAAATATTCTGAGTTTTGGGGCAGACACTGTACTTCTTGAAAGATAGTTCATGCTTCAGCTTTCACATATGAAAGCATATCAATAAAAAATTATCTGCTATAACATTTTAGTGACTGCTTCTGGGAAAAGTACAAGGTGTTGGTTTTGGCCTTTAAAGCTCTACATGATTTGGGTCCAGGTTACCTAAAGGATGATCTTCTCCCGTACAATCTGCCTCTAACATTGAGGTCCTCTGTGGGCAGTTACTCCAACCAGACAAAACCTGACTGGTGACCATCCCTCGGAGGATCTTTTCATCGGCCGTCCCAAGACTGTGGAACGACCTATCCGAAAAGCTCTGAGAGCTAAATGAGCTGTCTGAATTTTAATACCATCTAAAGAGCTATCTCTTCCAGCTGGTCTACCCAGCCAGATTTTAAACATGAATTCTAAATGTATGTCCTTTGTTTCATCTCCTTTGTGTATTTTATAGAAACATATTTTATAGAAACATGTTTTAATAAATTTTAATATGTGCATTTGTGGTGTTTAATTATTGTGTAACCTGCCTTGAGCCATGCGGTGAAGCGGGGAAGAAATAAAATTATTATTATGATTATTATAACACAATTGAAAAAAGCACTATTCATAGAATCATGGAGTTGGAAGAGACCTCATGGGCCATCCAGTCCAACCCCCTGCCAAGAAGCAGGAATATTGCATTCAAATCACTATTACACCTTCTCAATGCACATATGTTACTGTTATATATTTAAATATTAGGAAGAGGTTTAGAAGACTGTTGTTCACAAACATGCATATGCATGTTGCCAATGCATTAATGTAATGCTGCAAATAATCTTACATTTAAAAAATTGTTCTTTTATATAATTATGGGAAAATTCTTTGAGGCAGTAAATATCCAGATAACATATCTTAAACATTCCTCACCCTAAACTATATAATTCTATAATCTATCTTCCCAGTTTTGGGGGAGAAATAGGCTTCAATAAAAGAAAGAAGAAGAAAAATCCCCGAGGTTTTCTGGGTTATTTTCCTCAGGCCTTCATGTCACTAGCAAATAAAGTACTCTGCCCTCCTTCAGTCTGTTGAATGTCTAGGCAGACTGCCTGAGAAAGGAGGGAGTGGTGCTTGTGTCCAACAGTAACTTTCTTGATTTCTACACTGGGCATGGGAGACTGCCAGAGGAGAGGCCAATCCCCCAAACCCAACCAAACTTTGATGCTGACACTGAATAAGGAGAAGGCAAAAGAGCCTTCTTCCAAACCCAGTACAAACCGCAACCACCTATTGGAGGATGGCACAATCACTTTGGTCCCATCTACAATGACTATTTTATCAAGTTCAAAACTAGCATCAAACTATGCCAGACAGACAACAAACTCCCAAATAAGTACATGAAAGAATGCCTTTAATGCACATCAATGCTTTCTGGTTTGTGTAATCACCATCTATGCCTCACACTGCTTCCTAACTAATCATCTGATCAGCAAAACTAATTTCTTCAATATCGGTTTGAAACTGCATTAAATTTAGATGGGGTCTCGAATTCTTTTTTCTATCTCTCTTCTTTCTTAGCAGGCTTCTCACATAAGAAAGGATTTGTTTAAAAAAAAACAAGCCTTGCTATATCTGACAGATGGGCATAAGCTGGGTGATTGATCTTGATTATTTATTCTGTGTTCTGTGAACATTGGCCATGGTATCTTTTTAGATTAATTCTGTGAATGAGAGACGAAGGCCTCAATGATATGGTGGTTTCTGTCATACTTCTGGATTCTTATTTCAGAAAACGCTAGTAAGGAGGTGAGATCATAATGGAGAAAAAAATACAAAGAAGAAAATAGGAGCAAGAAATAAATTGTTTTTAAAAGAATTCACACGGCATTTTCCTTCTCTGCAATGTTGAGAATAGGACTCTCCACTTGCTTACTCTCAAGTAAACCATGCTCTGTTCACTCTGTGTGGCACAGGAAGAAAGGCATACTGCAAAGACTGTGATATGGGAGGAGGTTCAAGCAAGAGACAACATATGTCCCATCAGGTTCAGGGATTCTGGAGGTTACAGCAGTTGCAGTCATTTGGGTAGCATCCCCTCCATATTCCCCTAGTGACACCACTGAGCCCAAGCATTTAAAAAAGATCAGAAACAGTGCTGTGGCAGAATTACTTGTACTGATATGCATATAAGCCAACCCATGATTATTTTGTCAATTGTATTTGAACTTATGCATGAGTATATATGGTATCTATAATGGAAGAATGTGTCTGCAAGAATTTTCAATTCTCATCACTCAGCAAAATCCACTTGTACTCAGCCAATAGCACTCTTATTAACAGAATGAAAGTCATGAAAAGGAGAAAAAAGAAGTCTGAAATAATAAGAAAGGAGAAACTAATTTTCAGTGACAGTCTAGTCTTTCATCTTAAGCCATGCCTTGAACTCTACCTTGTTTAATTATTAAAATCAGGAGCTGCTGTGCAAGATCTGTCTGCATTTGATGATTCTTAAATTCAATCCTGCTGACAGACTGTGTCCATTTCTTGCCATATTTATCGCTACCTATGACAAGGTCTGAATGCTAATTTTTTTTTCAATTCAACATTCATTAGCAACACAATAATAAGAGTTTAAGCAAGCTTTCTATGCAACATCAAGCAAATGATCACTTCTCTAAATGTGCTAGCGATGAAAAATGTCAAAAGGGACTTCTTGATTTCACACGCAAACACACAGAAACCCAGCACAAAATCTCATAAGTGACCCAGAAGAGGACAAAGCAATCAGGCTTAAACACAACCACCTGTTCAAAAATGAGAGTGATAATAACGCAATCGTTTTTTTCTATGTCCGCCTTGTTAAAAAAATTAAAAGGACCATTAGGAATGATTACGCAGAATGAAAAGGAATAGCTTCCCATATAACTGGATAATCCTTTCGGATGCCCTCTTCTAAGAAGGCTCACTACAACAGATCTTCAACACCTCAATCTGTGCTAGTCAAACTCCATCCTGTCCCTCACAGCCAATCACCACTGGATTCTTTATCTTGCCTACATGGGCCAATATTCCCTAAGACAAAGTGCAGGTCTCTTCAACCTCTGGTCCTTCAGGTGTTTGGGTCTCCAACTCCCAGAATCCCTAGCCAGCTTGTTCAATGGTCAGGAATTCTGGGAACTAACATCCAAAACATCTGGAGGGCTGCAAGTTGGAGACGCTTGACATAGAGGAAGCCCCTAAGGCCCAAAAACATTACCTGTGTAGATATTGTAGATAGTGTTGAAAGAGTCTTTTTAGAAGCTTGTGTGATAGGGTATATATCGAGTGCAGACTGGGATGCTAGTTGTGTTTTGGTTATTTGAAGCTTTGGATGCCATCTGTTTCACTTTTCAGAATGTTTTTACTGGTGACTTAAATAATTACAGATACAACATCTCTATTTTGCAAGAAATTGACACGTTTTAAGACATTATCAGTCTTGGTGAGCAGGTGACAGTACTTCATTTGGATTTCTGACATTGTCTTTTTTTTAGTACCACTTTATTTTCATGTAAAATCAACAGAATACTTAGTGAAGAACTATTTTATTGATATTTATGCTGCTTGTGGAATATATCTGATGTTGGCATGGGGAGAAGTGATTTATTTCCCCTTTGGATGAGCTGTTTGAAAAATTCATACCCATCCTAGATAAATCCTTCATCTACTTCCAAATATTCATGGAATCTTTTTTTAAAAAATCTTTATTGAGATTTTCTATAACATGATTAAAATCAAAAAGTGGCCTTGAAAGGAAACGGAGAGAAAGAAAGAGAAAAATAAAATGAATAAAATAAAATAAAAATGGAAACAGAAAAAAAGAAAAAATTGAGATTAAATTTGGTTTTTTCTTCTTGACTTCCAGAGTATCTTCTGTGAGGTGTCCCCCTTTTCCCTTTTATCTATATTTCTCTATATTCCATATTCATGGAATCTTAATGTCTTAATGTCTTGGGGTTTGCATTGTCTGTTTCTATGTTTAGGTGTATTGATTAGATATATCTGAAACATTTTAAATGTATTAATAATATTTGGGGAAATGATCAGTCTTTTTCTGAGGTTTAACAGCTGTATCACCTCATATTATTTCTTAAGGGCATAAACTATTGCAAACAATACAAAAGAAACTAACATGTCTGAAATGAAGTCTTAAGCTTCCTCACTTTCACTGGCATCACCTTTGTAATCCACTGAAACATTCTACAGAAAGGCTTGTTGTAAAAATAACGCAATTTGACAGGATGTACGTTCATTCTTTTCTAACATAAGGATACCTTTCCATTATTTAGTAATCATCCAGCAAATATAAACACATAATAGGATGTTTAAGTTAATAGACAGAATAATATTGAAAATAAGGTGCTAGGTTCTCTAAAGAGCTGCCACCAGAAATACATAGCTTAAAAACTAATTAAGTTACCTGAACTATTTAAATTATTGATCATATAGTCAATGAATCGGTTCTGAACATCTGAATTTGTAGCATTTCTACTGCTGTCTGATTGTCAGCATTCCGAAGCTTCTGATGGGTTTTGTGTTTAATTCCCAGAAAACTAATATACATCTAACTGGATGGCTCCTCCTGATTGACTGTCTCATTTCCTTGGTTCAGCCCCATTTGTCTGCTTGAAAATTCTGCTTTCAGGATGAAGATCAGAAGCGATTTCTTTGATTTTGAGGTTGGGGTCTTCCATGCCACTCTTAACAAACTTACCAGGTAAGGATTCAGCTTTAATTTTAGCTTACCTTTGTCTCCTTTTACTTTTCCACTTTGTGTGGCTTCGATTTCCTTCCAGTTTTGCCTGTTTCTGCAGAGACAGGCTTTCTAACTCATTCTAATTATTGTTAATTAATTATTGTTTTAATTAATGCTTTATGTACTGTTTTAATTAATCCATTATGTATTTTAACTGTTGTTGTATTATCATAATTGTTTATATGTAAGTGGCATCAAATCGTTGCCAAATGTAAGCCGTCCTGAGTCCCCCTATAATCTATAGAACTCTCTGCCACTGACACATATTGGTACTTTTAATTTTAGCTTTATGATGGCTTTACCCTTCATGATGACTTTGAGGACTCTCTTGTTTTGGTCAGCATTGAACAGAGATACTCTTATTGATTGGCTTAGTTTATCTTTGTGCTAGTTTAAATTCTGTTTCATAGGTATTGTTGCTGGCTTTTTTCTCTTTGTAGGCATTGTTTCATGTGCAAGATTGTGGAATGTGGACTTAATAATTTGATTAATCACTTGAGAAGACTTGTCTTTAAAGGTCATCTTGAAAAACCCGAAGTTCAACATTCCATAGTAGAAACGCTAGAACTGGAAACTAAGATCAAACACCTGGTCAGTATTAGATCTTCAGAAGATGTGCTCAGATCAACAAGAAACTTTTGATGACTATTTCAATCATACTGTAAAACATACATTGCTAAAGAGCACTTGGCATACATTGCTAAAGAGCACAAACAGCAGGTCGTGTTGCACTGGACTACTGCCAATTTGTAATTAGGATGTTACATCAACTGATATCTGAAAGGCTATGCACAACCTTAACATGAAAGTGAAAACTTGTTTAAGACAGGGAGGAAAGGAAAAAGCAATCTGTCTTTAGTGAAATGTCCATACAATGTTAACGTGAAAACATTTTCTTCTTTATTTCATAACATTTGTAAGCAAAAGCAATGTTTTCCCCAAAACAATTGATTAAATGAAGCCTTTTCTGAACCAGTGTGTACTCCTTTTTCAAAAAAGGTGCTGTTTTATGATATAATAATAGTGCAAATATCTTTCTTTGGTGACTACACAGCACTTACAGTTGCTTTTGTTTGCGCCAAATATTCTGCATCCATTTTACTTAGACGTGCATTTGTATCTTCCAGCAATTGCTGAATATTTTCTGTGTGTTTCTTCTGAAGATCAAATTTTTCCTTTTCCATTTCAGCTACAGCATTGTGGAGCTACAAGTAGAAACATACAAACCCTAGTTAGGATATTATTAAGCAGCTAAGTTGTAACCAAGACTATTATTATTGTTGTTATTGCCACTATTATAATCACAACCATCATTATCACCAGCAGCAGCTATTCTTGATATAAAGATGGACAGGCCTGGGAAAGAAGCGGGAAACATTCAGGACAACTCCCTTTCCCATTTTTTATGAAGCTGCAATTCTCCCAAAAAATGGAAAAATGTGGTTAGGTATTATTTATTTTAAAAATGGCAAACAGAAGAAAGATGGATTTTTTTTATCGTGTCAGAAGCAACTTGAGATAACTATAGGTCACTTCTGGCGTGAGAGAATTGGCCGTCTGCAGAGACGTGGCACAGGGGATAGCTGATGTGTTACCATCCTGTGGGGGGCTTCTCTCATGTCCCCAAACGGGAAGCTGGGGCTGACAGATGGGAGGTCACCTCGTCTCGCAGATTCAAACTGCCAACCTTCAGGTCAGTAGTTCAGCCAGCACAAGGTTTTAACCCATTAAGGTAAAGGTAAAGGTTTCCCCTGACGTTAAGTCCAGTCATGTCCAACTCTGGGGGTGGTGCTCATCTCCATTTCTAAGCCGAAGAGCCGGCATTGTCAGTAGACACTTCCAAGGTCTACTTGGAGTGCCGTTACCTTCCTGCCGGAACGATACTTACTCACATTTGCATGTTTTCGAACTGCTAGGTTGGCAGAAGCTGGGGCTAACAGCGGGAGCTCACGCCGCTCCCCGGATTCAAACCTGTGATCTTTCAATAAGCAAGTTCAGTAGCTCAGCGGTTTAACCCGTTGTGCCACCGCAATTAACAGGTAGCCGACTTGTAGCTATAGTTGTTCTATTGACCATCTTTATACGGCCTAGAAATACCTGGGAAACGTGAGTTGAGTAATTGTTGACAGGAAACTTGTTGCCACAATTCTAGTATACATTCTAGGACATATCCTAGGCATTCTCTCACAGTGGTAATATCCACCATAAAATAAACATAGACAAGATGTTAAAAGAGAGAAAAAGAAGGGGCTGTAAGAGTTTAGAGTTCAAAAAAAAAGAACCATAGTGAAAGGCAAGCAATGTGTTGTTTGTGACCCCTGTGACTCACATGCATTAATGATGAGCAAAATAACTCTGGTAAAGGTATGCCTTTTGGGAGGGCCACTGATGCCACCACCGCTCCAGTAGACTGACCTCATAATGTGGTAGGTTTTAGATATTCTAGTTCAGACATCCTCAAACTGCAGCCTCCAGCTGTTTGGGCCTTCAACTCCCAGAATTCCTAACTACTGAACAAGCTCATTAGGGCTTCTGGGAGTTAGAGGCCCAAACAGCTGGAGGGCCACAGTTTGAGGATGCCTGCTCTAGCCAATCTAAGGATCACTACTTTACTTACTTCTGTCTCTTGTTTTTTTAACAAATGTCTTTGAAATTGTTTAAATGCATTTCAACAACATCTTATGATATGTTTTCACTTACATCGTCACATGTGTTTTTATCTCTTTTCATTCTAATAACTGCCAAGTCAATCCCACTTCTCAGAAAAAGGAAGCATGTAAGTCAAATTAGCATAAGAATAGACTGTTAACACTGATGACTCTGTAAAAAGGCTATTAACATACAGTATGATCTTGTATCATTTAACCATGACCCTTCAATGTGAAAAAATATGGAGAATTCATGTAGAAAAAAAATACATTAAAACTGCAAACTTTCACTTTGTCACTTCTTTAGTTGATTTTAAAACACTGATTCAATTAGAAAGTGGTTCCAATTAGGGAAGTCTCAGATTGTATATATTACTACATATGTCTTGTTTATTCGTTCAGTCGCTTCCGACTCTTTGTGACCTAATGGACCAGCCCACGCCAAAACTCCCTGTTGGCCGTTGCCACTCTCATCTCCTTCAAAGTCAAGCCAGTCACTTCAAGGATAACATACATCCATATTGCCCTTGGTCAGCCCCTCTTCCTTTTTCCTTCCATTTTCCCCAACATCATTATCTTCTCCAAGCTTTCCTGTCTTTTCATTATGTGACCAAAGTGCTTCATCTTTGCTTCTAATATCCTTCCTTCCAATGAGCAGTTGGGCTTTATTTCCTGGAGTATGGACTGGTTTGATCTTCTTGTGATCCAAGGTACTCTCAGAATTTTCCTCCAGCACCACAGTTCAAAAGCGTCTATCTTCCTTTCGCTCAGCCTTCCTTATGGTCCAGATGTCACATCCATAGGTTACTACAGGGAATATCATTGCTTTAACTATATGAACCTTTGTTGCCAGTGTTATGTCTCTACTCTTCCCTATTTTATCGAGATTGGTCATTGCTCTCCTCCCAGGAATATTTCAATAACTACATATTTAAATAATAAGAAATATGCATTACCCTTTTCTCCCATTCATTGTTTAGGGAATCAGTGCTTTGCTCACACAGCTTTTTCAGTTCAATAATTTGTTTCTCCTTATCTTCTCTAACAACTTGTGATTGACGAACAAGCATTTGAACTGTCAAAAAAAAGAAAAATAGTACCAATATATTAGATTATTGTTCTATTCCACTGAGCTTCATTTTGTTTTTAAAAGCATTATTTCATATTAAATGTGTTAAATTTGTTCTCAACTGTTTCCCCCCAGTGATGAATGTAGTCCTTGATTCATTTTTCCTTGAAGCATGATCACATAACATATCAATGTTTTGAATACAACTGGTGCTCAAAATCCAAAGAATGACTTTAACTGTTACCAAGAGACAAAACCAGTATGGATTTTTATAGCTTATTTTCTGCTCTGGTTAATGGATCATCTTGCCCAGTTTTAAATTACTTTTGCAAGTCCCTTCAGTTTAAAATCAAATTGATATTTGATATTGTGAACTGGTTCCAAAAAGAAAGCAAGAATGCAAGCAAGCAAGCAAGACAAAACCCTATGGACACCCAAAACTGCAGAGTTGTTTGATCACTAGCCAAATAATTTGAACTTTAAATCAAGCAAGCAAAAAATCTGAATAAAGCCTGTTCCAGAACAACTGGAACTGCAAATCAGCAGTGGAAGTTTTGTCAAATTAAAAGCTGTACTGGGTGCACAGCAGCTGGGGCAGGAGAGATGACATTTCTTGCCCCAGATAAAGTAGCTCCAATAAAAAAAGAAAGGAACATAACACTGAGCCTGGAGTACTTGATTTATGATGCTTCACCTTTCTTTTCAAGTTTTTGAATAGTCTCTTCAGCTTCACTTTGTTTGGTTTTGGACAGTGTCTTCAGCACTTCAATTTCATTATTTTTTCTGTCCAAAATCTGTAGTAGAAAATAATGAGAGCTTATTAAACATCAATGGAAATTAGCAACATCAAAAGGGGAACTCAACATAATATAAGTAGGGACCAGGGTATATTTACTACAGAAAGACTAACTGAAGTGTGCATAAGCTTTTGTGAATTTAGAATATTATTTCGAGTAACTAAATAAACAATAGATGAAAAATCTGGTCAAAATAACACAAAACTTACTTTTAAAGAGTGGTGAAATGACCCTCATGAAATGAAACAGCAGAGCAAAAAAAAATGGTTCACAAAAGAATGAATTTGAGAAGATTTATTTTCTCCAAGGTATCCATATTCCTTCAAAATCATATTAAGTATTTGAAGTTTAACAAGATTTGAAATTGTAAGAATTATTGCTGAATATTCCATTCAAAACCTCTGGGATTCCAGTAAGAAAAGAAAAGGACGCTCATAAGCACAGAAAAGAAAACATTTAAGATTAAATGTTTTTTTTTTATGAAAGAACTAAAAACTGAGTATTCAACTGGCAAACAAAAATGACATGGTTTGTTGTAGGTTTTTCCGGGCTATATGGCCATGTTCTGGAGGCAATTTTTCTCCTGACGTTTCGCCTGCATCTATGGCAAGCATCCTCAGAGGTAGTGAGGTCTGTTGGAAGTAGAAAAATGGGTTTATATATCTGTGGAATGACCAGGGTGAGACAAAGGACTTTTGTCTGCTGGGGCTAGGTGTGAATGTTTCAGCTGATCACCTTGATTAGCATTCAATGGCTTGGAAGTGCCTGGGGGGAATCTTTTGTTGAGAGTGATACAACAACCCAGATTCAATGCCTTCTTACAATACAATGAGATACACAAACACAAACGTTCAGCAAAGGACAAGAGGGATCCTCTCACCTCTGCAGGAGTCTACCGTGTACCATGCAGCTGTGGACAAGTCTACATAGGGACCACCAAACGCAGCGCCCAGACACGCATCAAGGAACATGAAAGGCACTGCAGACTACTCCAACCAGAGAAATCAGCCATAGCAGAGCACCTGATGAACCAACCTGGACACAGCATATTATTTGAGAACACAGAAGTGCTGGACCACTCTCACAACCATCATGTCAGACTACACAGAGAAGCCATTGAAATCCACAAGCATGTGGACAGAAAGGAAGAAACCATGAAAATGAAGAAAATCTGGCTACCAGTATTAAAAAACTCAAAAATCACAACAGCAAAACAGAAGGGAAACAAACAGGCACCTAAAATTACTCTTAATAAAAGATTCCCCCCAGGCACTTCCAAGCCATTGAACATGGTCATGTAGCCCGGAAAAACCTACAATAACCCAGTGATTCCGGCCATGAAAGCCTTCGGCAATACATCAAAAATGACATGGAAGGATTCTCTATACTTTAAAAACACTGTAGGACATCTCATCTAGAGAGCCAGTTCTGGCAGTCAAAACCAAGTTACTTATTTTAAAGGGAAAGGAAATGAATCTCACCTCTTGTTTTGCAAGACTGGCGAAATTCCAAGCAGTGAAACAGAAATATCAGACCTTCTATCAATGATGCTATACTATTACCTGTTCTACAATGCTAATAGATGATATTGTGGAAGATCTTATGTCAGAAACCATGCAACACCTTACAGGAAAAGAAACACATCTCTACATTTCAGTTTTCAGAAAATCCTTCCAGACCTCAAAAGGGCCTTCAGATTTTTGAAGGGCATTTCTGCATTCAAACCACAATAAACAGAGAAATGGGTAAACACTAATGTAATGCTTTGTTTAAAAATTATCATTGCTAGAACGCAAAAATGTAACTACACAAATCAGAACTTACATCAACTTGTTGACTACTTTATAAAATCTTGTGGATTCTTGTAATTAAAAAAATATTTCGGTATTCTAATGTACAGAGAGCAGAAAATGCAAGATCTTGGTAAATGGAAGATTTGATAGAACCAATGAAAATATTTTAATTACTAACTGTAAGGGAAACAGTTCCATCAATCGACAAATGTTGCAATGCCTGTATGCAACAGAACATGAGATGGAAGTGGTAGAGAGACAAGGGTTTCCTTCCACAAGCACTGGAACCTTTGCTATGTTCTCATAATGATACAAAAATAATCATATTCCCTGCTCCATGAGTACCTACTCATGGAGTACCTACTCATTGCTTCAATCCACTGGTATAGCTGCCAAAAGTTTCACAGCATCGTCTTAAGAAGGTACAAGTACCAGGTTAATTTGGAAGGACTTGTTTCATTTCAGATACCACAAAACTGTACAATGGGTATTAGGACACTTCAGATTGAAGGCCCCCTTTTGTGTGCGTGTGTGTGTGTGTGCGTGTGTGTGTGTGCACACACTCCCATGTTTGCATGTTTCCCTACAATGTGATCTATCTGGTAGTATCTAGCAGCTATCATCTTAAAACAAAACAAATGTAACTGAAGTGTAACTAAAGAGTTTCATTTTTCAAATTTACAAAAAAATCCATTTGCACTCATTTCAAAAGCTCCAATAACCAATGGAATGCTATTTAAAGCCAAAATCTTAACACTGCAGAATGAAATACTGTTATTATTTTATGGAGAAATATAATGGCATATAAAACAGTCTGAGATGTAAGAAGATTTATTGCTTTCACACATCAACACTAACTGACCACTGTAAAGATCTGAAAGACCTCTATCATCTCTCCCAGTCCTTTGAAAATTTAGGTCAAGAGATATGATTTGCCTCCTTCTAGATCCTATTACATTCTTTTCTTCTCACTCAGCTGTATAAATATGCTTCATACCTGACTGAGCCTTAATACCACCCTACAATGCATCCAAAGAGGTGGATTTATATACAGAAACGCTCATGCTAAAATAAAAACGAATCAATCTTAAACACGCTGCCACATTTTTTCTCCATCTTACTTTTACTTTTTAAACATACTATAGTAACTATACTATACATACTATAGTGACTATACTATAGTAACTATACCTTTTGAACATCTGCATCATGCTTCTTCTGTAATTTCAGCTTTTCTTCATGAATTCTTGCTTCCATTAGCTTTGTTTTCATCTCTAGCTGTAACCACAAAGTGTTTGCAAACTGATCAAGTTCGGATACAAGGTAACTTTCTCCTTCCTCCGTAAACCTTCCAAAACAGGCCTAGTATCTCATAAATGAGTACAAAATCACGCAATGAGACAGCTGTGGTTAGTGAAGTCATGCAACTGAACTTTCTCTTGTGAGAAAACCAAAAGATAATTGATCAGAAAAGTGTAGTGCTCCAAAATATATATCTTTTGGGGGAAGAAGCGAGTATGAGAATCAAGCCACTATGAATCAATAAAGGTCAACTTCTACTATCCTAGGGTTAGGAGGGGCCTTTTCCCATGTATACACTACCACACACAGATGCTCTATGGCTCAACAAATAAAAAAACACTTATCTTCAAAATGATTTAACTGTGCATTGAGTTCTATACAATTAGCATATTGAAAACTGTTTCATCGCATATTAACCAGGTGGAAAAGCAGTCTTTTGAGTTGCTCAACTTTTTAATATTCAGGTGCACACAATGTCAATTACCTACACACTGATCTAACCGAATTAAAGAGAGTAATTCATCCCCATGGCACTTTGAATAGCATCCTGGCTCTTCACCATCTAACATGCCAGAAGAGGCAAAATAAAGAATGAGGAACTGATCGAGTCTTTATTTCTGAAAGAAATTTGTAAAGCAATCTCATGAAGCTGAGATAAACAATACCCTGGAGTCAAAACATTCAAAGTCTCTCTACAATCCTCACTTGTCTTTTGCTAACGTTGTCCATATTTGCAATCAACATAATGTGCCATAAAAATGACACTTGTGAATAAAACAAATGGCAGCAGATGACAATGAAAACGTAGGGTGCACCAACCTTAACGCTGTAGAATTTTTAAAAAAATAAAATTTACAGATCAACTAAAATGAAGTAGAAATTGCATAACATGCAAAGCATTTAAAAGAAAAAAATAGTACACATGGCAAGAGTCCAATTGTGCTATTAATTAAGAATGTGACCCCAAAACCACATTCAAGGAAATGTCGAGCCATTTGTCTTTCACATTTTCTCAGTCACAATCAATATTGCTGATATGAAAAGGTTGGCACATCCTCGTATGGAAGCAAGCTCCACTGAACAAAAGTAGACTTATTTCTATGTAAAATTGTATAAGATTGTTATCTAACCCTTGAATCATAATTCAAACTATTAAAAGTAGAACAAAAATGAATTAATATATCCCCTAAACCGAACAGAAAGAGCAGGTAGATATGCTCACTCATTTTACTTCATTTATAATTTTGATATTTATAGTTTAATGTTTAGAGGGTTTAATCCAAGCAAACAGAAAGCATTATAGACACATGTATCTTAAATGGATTACAAAACAAGCCTATACTCACATCATGCCAGAGATTAAATAGCTTTGTTCACCTTAATAAGCAATCTATCCCAGGGACTAAGAAGGGTGTATGTGTTCATATTGTTTCTATGGAACCTCTCAGTAACTTTTAATGCCTTTAATACCATCCTGAAAGGTTATTTGTTCCCAGATTTCAGCAGTTGCCAGGAGGCACATACATGCACAGTTAAACTTAGTATGGACCTTGTCCTGGGAGAAAGACAGGATATAAATAAGATAACAGATTGTGTGAGCTGTACCCATTCCTGGAGATGTCTGATCTACCGGAGTCACATGTCTTAGCTACAGCCTGTTTGGATTTCTGTAATATATGGGGCTGAAATATCAGGAAGTCCAAAACGATGTAGCTGATTAGGATTGCTTGAAGAGATCACACAAGTTACTAGCTATAATTTCCAGTGGCTACTGGTCTATCTCCATACACTATTGAAAGTGCTGACAATGACCAAAAAAGCCTTCTACAACATAGTTCCAGGCTGAGGCCACATAAAGTTTCTGAATCCAGATTATCTGTTTAGAACTGGATTGCAGTTAGAATCATATAATACAGTTCAAAGCAGATAATCTGGATTCAAAACTGGATTATATGGCAATGTAGCCACAGCCTGAAAAGTCATATTCTACAATCCAAGCCACTCTAGATTTTGTAATTTTTAGTAAGAGCCACTGTATTGCTTTCACCACCCTCAAAGGCTGTTTGGACGAAAAGCAAGAGCAAGTGTTCCAAGAGCTACTCTTAGACTACAATCTCCTTTTTGTGTATGCTGGGGTGTATCCCACCCATTGCTGTTCTACCAGAAGACAAAGATCTTAATTTTCAGGAACTTTTTGGGCAAACATTTGGCAGCTGACAGGCTGATGACGTTGGGATTTTTATGGAATGCTTGTTCCACAACCCCATCTCTTCCCAATTATGCTTCTATTTTATTTAATTTGATTCTTGGGTTAATTGTATTTTTATTATAATGTATTGTGCTTAACTTTACCATGTTGTAAGCTGGCAACGGTCCAGATAAGTGAGGGGGGAAAGATGGGGTGTAAATTAAATAAATACTGATGGAAACACTGTGTATACAGAAGAAAGGGGTTGGTTTTTTTAAAAAAAGTATGTGTTTTTAATCATGTTGCCAACGGCCCTGAGTTTGAGTATTATCCAACATATGTTCAGCAAAAGAGAACGGAAGGGAGGGGACAGTATCAAGATGATATAAAACAGTCCAACATCCATCAAACTCTTGTTACCATACTACAGGATGAGGCAGCATAACTTCTTTTTAAAATGTGCAGCATTCAGTCGGTTGAAGACATAGCAGAGCACTAGTGGTCTTGTTTGAGAGGCGGGAGTATAAAGTTTTGTCAGTCGCCATCATGCGTTGGAACAGTGAGGAACGTGCTTTTGGCGTTGAGGCCTACTTTTTGAGCGGATAAGGAGTGGCCAGCCCACTCTCCAGATTTGGCCCCTTGTGATTTTTTTCTATGGGGTTTTTTGAAATCCCATGTTTATGTGAACTATCCAAGAACCCTACAAGATTTGAAGACCAACATCCAGGAAGAAATTGCCAACATAACGCCTGCTATGCTGGCAAGAGTCATGACAAACGCCAGAAATCAGTTTACTCAGTGTATGGAAAATGGAGAATGGGGCATCGCCTACCTAATTTGATCTTCAAAACTACGTAAAACAAAACTTTAGGTATGCGCCAACATTATAAAAAAATTCTGATTCATACAATAAGTTTTATTAAGTTTTGAAAAAAGGAAGTTATGCTGCCTCACCCTGTACATATACAATGCTAGCAAGAATGTCTCTATACAATATGTGCAGGCAAAGAGACAATCCTTATGTACCAAGATGGGGTTGTATTCATCATGTCACCAAGTTCCTAAGAAACAGAAAGAGTGAGGCAGTTGACTCTGGCACAGTCAGTAATTATGCAAACTGACAGGATCCAGAAACTGGTTGGGTATCCAGTGACACTGTAGGATACTGAAGCCATGTACCCAAGCTTTAGACAAATGTCTAATCTGATGACGCTGCTATTTCAATATACAGTAAGATTGCTTTAATGATGCCTCTGTAAAAGAACCTTCTTTTTATAAAAACTTTCTAGTATCACTACTAGAAATGGGTTCCTTCCCACTGTTACCACTCAATGGAAGGGAAAAGCCTCAAAGGCACTAGGAACATCCACAAGGGTTGAAGCTATAGTGATCAATCAGCTGCTTGTCAGAGTAGACAAGAGGCTAATATTTTAGTTGCTAACAAAGATTTATTGGAACATATATACTTCCAGGTTTCCACGGCAAAATAGAGATAGAGACAAGAAGGGACTGCAAAGCATCCCCAGAGACCCTGCACAAATCAGTTGGGGACATGTTAGCCCTTAGTGCTCAAGTTTACAGTGACTCAGCCTGATTCCATCTGCAGACGCCTTTAAGGAAAAAAAGGCAAATAAAACATTCTTGCACTTTGGGAGAAGCTTTCAAGTAGTCTACATACCACATTTTTTAATATCAGCAAGGCTTACTTGACCTGCTTGTTTCATTTTACACCTGATAGCTTTGCATATAAAGTTGTTTGAAACATGTCAAATTGCTCGTACATTTTTGTTAACCTCTCTATTTTTTCCATGGTAGTTCTTCTTCTAGTACTAAATTTTCATTAAAGTTATGTCCAGGAATGTTCTTCATTAATGAGGTAAAGCCATACTGAGAGCATGGACAGCAAAACATGCAAAACCCAAAAGTACTTAATTCAGAAAAAGTTCTTCACCACACCACATACCTATCTGAAAACAGATGGAATTGCCAGATTTCAAAAGAGACAAAGAGAACTTCAAACAAATAATAAAAGGTCTTCTTCAACGTCATCAGGCAAACTTGTAAGACATCTGGTATTCTTTTGACTGACCGGTACAGAGAAAATTAATGTACAAAATGTCTCTTTGGAACAGATGCAATAAATTCTAGACTCTTTGGAATGGTTATGACATATACTAAAGTCTTCATGAAGATATAAAAACAGGGCCAAAAAAGTTAATATACATACCTGCCTATTTTTCAAAATGTTTTTGCCTTCCATTTGGAAGCACATAACAATAGAGGAATATGTAGATTTTTCTCCAGTTTTGGCCTAAATTCATCCACTAAGGACACCAATATATAAACGTAATGTCCTCAGTGGGTTCCCACTGATTGAATGGGTTTAGTTTAGGGGCCATAGTGACACAATGGGTTTATTTATTTGTCGTGTCAGAGCAGCCAGTCCATTATATTACATTTCTAACAGAACAAAGCAAACAAACAGAAAAAATACACAACTTGTGAGTTTGGTAGCTGGTTAAATGTCCTTTGACCAGTATCTGGCCACTTGGAGTGCTTCTGGTGTTGCTGCAAGAAGGTCCTCCATTGTGCATGTGGCAGGGCTCAGGTTGCATTGCAGCAGGTGGTCAGTGGTTTGCTCTTCTCCACACTCGCATGTCGAGGATTCCACTTTGTAGCCCCATTTCTGAAGGTTGGCTCTGCATCTCGTGGTGCCAGAGCACAGTCTGTTCAGTGCCTTCCAAGTCACCCAGTCTTCTGTGTGCCCAGGAGGGAGTCTCTCATTTGG